AATATTATTAATAGTTAATAATTCTAACAATTGTTAATAATGTATTTGAATTAAATAAACTACTATTGAAGTCATTAAAAGTTTAATTTATTAAATTTAATTGCTGTTTAATAACTAAATTCGTGAAAAAATTTTGATTTTCTTTTGAAATGTCATCTCAACATAAATTTGGAAGGAAAAAAAAATCAGTTTGGCAGTGGTTTCATGAAGGTGAAAAGCTTAATAATTCATAGTATTTAGTATAATGTAATTTTTGTCATAAAACTTGTTCTGGTGAACCTTTAAAAATGGAAAAACATTTATTAGAAAATTGTAAAGAGATGAATCAAAATAAATGTAATGATATTAGAAATATTTTAAAAAATGTTCAACTGACTAATTTACAAGAGGATAATTTGCAATACCAAACTGGTAATAATAATAATAGTCTAATTACAAATGAAAAAGAAATCAAACCTATTTTATTATCTATTGGAGAAAAAGCATTTATCAATTGTCAACTGCTTAAAGCATGAATTTCTTCAAATGCACTATTATCTTTTGTAGAAAACCTTGAAGTAATTAAATTGTTTAACATGTTAAAACCAGAATATAAACTTTTATCTCAAAAATAGATAAGCACAGATATCTTAGACAATGTACATGAAACTATACAGTATAATATTCAGCATTTTATATCTGATTCAATGTTTTTAATATTATCTGATAATAGATGAACAAATGTCTCAAAAAACAGTATGCTAAATTTCATTATGACGAATGAAAAACATGAAAGTCAGATTTTAAAAATAGATAATTATTCTTATTTGTGTCATATAGATAACAATATATTTAAAAAATATAAAGAAATTGGAATAAGTTTTGGCTTAAACAAGTAATTGCATTTATTTCAAATAGTGAACATGATTTTAAAAAGGCACAATACCTTATATATAAGGTAAATAACTAGTAAATTTTATAATTAAAATTTTTTTATTTATTTTCTATGTATATATCAAAAATTTAGATTTTATAAGTTATACTTAGAGAGGTCTAATGTAAATACTTTATAATAATAATAATAGTATTAATTATTATTATTATAGATTCATGATATTGGTGGTAAAGTTTTAACAATCCTATGCATAGCATATCAAACCAACTTGTTGGTTAAAAAATTGTGAAATCATCATTTTTTAAACTAGTTATTAAAAATATGCTGATAATTATTAATCATTTTCAAAATTCAAATATTGTATTATCTAAATTAAGAGAATTGACTAGTAATAAAACTTTAAAACCTCAATATCCATGTATCACTTATTAGACAATATTTACAAAAGCATCAGAAACTATATTAAAAATCTAAATAAGTTTAAAGATATATAACTAAAATATTATTATAATATAAATATATATTTATATATATAATTTCTTTTTATTACTACATATAGATTATTACACTTATACATTCATCTGTTTCAGCTTCACAAAAAAGCAATTTTAATATTAATAATATTATTAGTAATAATGAATTCTGGATAAATTTTGAATTGTTTTATAAATTATTAAAACTATATGATTATATTATAAAAATTCTTGAAACAGAAAAGACTACATTAGGTCAAGTAGCTATATTATAAGTATAGCTTTGTGAAACTATTAATAGAAGTTTATTTACTAATAATAACTTCAGGGACTCATTAATTATAGAAATTAATAATTGTTAGGAAAAACTATTTAATTTTATTTATATAATTATCTAGTTTCTTTATCTATATCACTATAGTGAAGAATTAAATACAAAATAGTATTTGTATATTTAAGAGTTAGTATATAGATTGTCTTACTCTATTTATCTTAATTACAATCAATTAAATTTATTAATGAATAGTTAAATTATGCAAATTAAAAAGGACTATTTTTAGTATTATCTATTCAAAATTTAAGTTTTACTAGGTTTCTATTGCAATATTGGTATACTATACTTTCTATAGTACCAAATTTAAGTAAATTTGCATGTCATCTTTTGTCAATCTCACCAAATTCTGCAACTTCAGAATAGGTATAGTTTTTATTAGATAATATACATATAGAATGTTATAATCAATTATTACTATCACAAGTTGCAAAAATAGTACAAGTTTCTTGATATATAAATTAATTTAAACAAGTCAAAAAAAAGATCTCAAATCTCTAAAGAATCAATATAAAGTAAAATATAGACAAAGAATTTTATGATGATAATAATAATAATGATAATAGTAATAATATAGATGAATTTATAGATAATTTGAATCAAATACCTAACAAATTAATAGATAATATTTAAGTATTTGATATAAATAGTAAAAAAACTACTCTAATACTTATAGATCTTTTTAATTCAGAAAGTGTTAAAAAATCATTAAATTTTTATATTCAATAGTTGTATATATAAATTTTAGATTCAAATTTTGAATTTGCTTTGACTATATTAATAAATAATTTATTCAATCTTTTTAAAAAACTAAGTTGAGTTCTGAATTCGAATAAGTAAAGAATTTATCTATTTTAACAAATGAATTTAGTATTTTTTTTTTTTTTTTTTTTTTTTTTTTTTATTAATTGATAATATCAGTTAGAAAAGGAATTAGTACATTTATATATCAGGATAGTATATATGTGAAGCTAATGTATATTCCTAATGTGTACTATTGTTACTAAGACTATTTGTTAATAGTTAGATATCTAGTATGATATTATATCCTTATTTTCTATTTACTAGCTGTTTTAAACAAAGTTACTATCGACTATAGAGGAGGTTAAGGGAGACCTCTAGAAAAAGGAGAAGATTAATTAGAAAAAACAATTATATATAGAAAAGTTTTGAAGTAAACATTTTTGAATATAGGTATCTATATT